CTTCTGGGCCAACCACTCTCTCCCCCCTCCAACACCAATTTGCCGAAACCACCCCCCAGCTTCGCTTTCCTGGCTCGAATGCAGCTGCCCTCGATTTTGCCTCGTCTCGAACCTAACTTCGCGCTTCGATTATTCTATAAATGTTACTTGGAGATGCTTGTCAAAACCGCAGTGGAGGTGATCTGTGTCGAACACGATTGCCTTAGACCCAGCAGTTGCTTGAAATAGTCAGATGGGCATCGAGTCTACATTGCGACTTCATTCACGCTCCGAAACACCATGCGATACGCGCAATCTAGCAAACACTCGAACGCTTAGCACGTGCAACTCGAGAGTCCGCTCGGCAATAGCCGACTAAGAGCGCTTACCAATCACGCGCCCAGCGCTTCCTCGACTTGACAAACTCAAGCTGCTGCTTTGATAGCTTCCGCCATGTCTCTCGCCTTCCCGTCGCTCATCTCGACTGTCGCTCCGCTGCCATCGTCCCTTTGGAGCGCCAACCTCTCTGTAAGCTCCACGTCGTTAATTCATCGCATATATCGACGCATTGGCTGTATCACACCCTATTGGAGTGGGAACTGCCAATCTTCCACTCCTGGCTCCAAATGTTCCCATCTTCTCATTACCATTCCCGTGTATGTCACGTATGGGTCGACGTATAGAAGTTCTCCTTGCTTACGTGACCGTCCATGCACACATTTTTTTCACGCCGCTGACTTACAGAGTAGCACTATAATAGGGGCACGACGTGATTACTCGTGCACGCTCTCTGTGTTTCCCGCTGCGCCCATCCGCGCCTCGTCGTGCAGGCACCGTACCCGACAAACACGCCGTGGCAGAACTTCGTGCTGGGCGACGGCGGCAGTCCCGAGGTCGTGCCGCCCTACGCCGTCAAGAGCAGCGAGGGGCGCATCGCGTGGGGTGCGCCGCCGAGAGACGCGCAGCCGGGCTTCATCATCCAGGTGAGGCGATGAAGCCGATTGCTCCATGAAACGTGGAAGAACGGATGGTCGAATAAACGCGGCCAGTGCCAAGTAAAGGCAGGCTGAAGGCAGAAGGCAGGGTTGGCTTTTTAGGCCTCGCCTTTGCTTTCTCAAGGACGTTAGTAAACTTGCGCGTCTCACCTACCAGGCGTGCCCGGTGGAACCATGCTCACCACAGCAGGTAGTGGATCTGGCTGCTTTTTTTTTTCATCTCTTCTTCTGCCGCTCGTTTGAATCCATCCGCCCCATCCTTGCGTCCCTCCCCTTGCGCACAACCCCTTCCTTCTTCGTCTGTACTGCTTTGCACGCCCACTCTTCCGCCCCATTCATTCTCTCACCTTTTCTTCTTTCCACCTGCCCTCCCTGTGCATGCTTACCCCCACGCCACCCTGTCAGGCGTTCATGGCGACGCTCATGCTCTCCACGCTCGAGGGCCTCTCCACCCACCAGGTCGCCTCCTACGACGACACCTCCGTCACCCTCGCCTACTCCTCTTCCTCCTCCTCGCCCTCATCTGCGCCCGTGGTGACGGTGCCACTGGTGCGCGGCAGTCCCTACATCACGTTCCTGTTCGCGTCACCAGGAGCCACGCCAGTGATGGCCACGGACGATGCCATCACGGAGGTGCAGTCCACGGCGGACGGCACCAAGCACACGCTCACCTTCAACAACGGACAGGTACAGTGCCAGCTGTATTGGCCCCGGCTGGCAGGCAGTGTGCGTGCCCTTAGCTGCCCATTCTGTGCTAGATGCAAGTGCACCTTGCCCTTTCTTCCATTAAACTTTGTCTTTGTTTTTGTTTTTGCTTTTTTGTTCCTTCTTTACAGTCCGAATTGACTCATCCCTTCCTCTCCTCCCTTTAACCCTCCGCACCCACTGCACCCACTGGACCCCTGCAACCCCCCCGGCACTTGCCCCCTTTCAGACATGGCTGCTATACGCGTCCGCACCGCTCACCTTCTCCCTCCACAACAGCACGCTCACCGCCACCTCACCCTTCACCGGCACGCTGCGCGCCGCGATGCTTCCTGGAAACTCCCCAGCGGAGGAGGAGGCGGTGCTGGACGCCTACGCAGGCGCCGTGGTGGTGGGCGGCGATGTGAAGGTGCAGCCATGGCGCGTTAAGTACACGTGGAGGGTGGCGCCGTGGGGCGCTGAGACTGCTGCCACGGATGGGACTGCTGTGCCGCTCATGCTCGCACTGCCAAGTGAGTCCTCGGGGTGAATGGGGGATGCGGGCGGTAGGGGCGACATAAAGGTGCAGCTGTGGCGGGAAGTACGCATGGAAGGTGGCGCCATGGAGCAGTGAGAGACTGCTGACACTGCTGCCGGTGCGGTGCGTGTGGCAATGGTGGTAGTATCAGCCAGTGCGGTGACAGTGGGTGTGGTGGCAATAGGTTGTTGCACATACGTATCCTTGTCAACCCCACTTCTCCTAATCCCTCTCTCACCCTCCCTCTTTTTCCCTTCCATGTGTGCCCACTCCCTCTGTCTCCCCCTCTCTACCCCCCCATGTCAGTTCATCGGCGAATGCACCTCAAAGCCTACTCCCCCGCCACCTCCACACCTCCCCCTGGTGTCAACTTCCCACCCGTCACCCCCACGCCTCCCCCCGTCACCTCTCCCCCTTCTTCTGCCCCTGCCTCTGCCCCTTCTTCCGCCCCTGCCTCCGCCCCTTCATCTGCCCCCGCCTCTGCCCCTGCCTCTGCCCCTGCCTCTGCCCCCACCTCTTCCCCCGCCCCTGCCTCTATTCCCCCTCCCTGCACCCCAATCCTCCCCCTCACCTCCGCTTCCCTCTCCACTTCCTCCTTCCTTGCCGCATCATCCGGGGGAGCAGCAGAAGCCATCACAGCATCCGCAGATCAAACTTCCCCATCACTGCTACAGCCCCCATCGGCATCGGTTTCAGCAGCAGCACCCAACCCCCACGTGCTGGTCTACCCCACGCTAGACGGCCCAGCAGTGGGCGTGGCAGGCAGCAGGTGGGAAGTGAAGGTGCCTCCTCTGCACGCCTCCTGGCACTCGCCCCGCCTCTCCTCCGACCCCGCCCTCCGCCTCTCCCTCCGCCTCGCACTACAGACAGACGTCGCCGCCCTCACCCCCATCACCACCACCTCCACCTACTTCTTCGGCAAAACCGCCGCCCGTGCCGCCCGGCTGGCTTTAATCGCGGAGCAACTAGGCGAGACGGCAGCAGCAGGGACGGCGGTGGCAGTGGTGCGGGACGCCCTCACCGCATGGTTCAACGGGTCGTTCGCCGGAAACTCTCTCCTCTACGACCCGGCATGGGGCGGCATTGTGAGCTCGAGTGGGGCGGCAGACTCGGGGGCGGATTTCGGCATGGGGTGCTACAACGACCACCACTTCCACTTCGGCTACTGGCTGTATGCCGCTGCTGTGGTGGCCAAGGCGGATCCTGCATGGGCCATGACCCACCGGCACTCTGTGCTCAACCTTGTGTCTGATATCATGTCTCCCCGTGCCACTGCGGCATTCCCCAGGCTGAGGCACTTTGATTTGTACGCGCTGCACTCGTGGGCGAGTGGGCTGTTTGAGTTTGGCGACGGGAGGAATCAGGAGAGTTTCAGTGAGGCGGTGAATGGGTACTATGCGGTGGCGCTGCTGGGGCATGCGTTTGGGGATCTGCACCTGGCGAATCTGGGCGCCACGCTGGCTGCTGTGGAGGCTGTTGCTTCTCAGACGCTCATTCAGGTGCCTGAGAGTGCCGATGGCGGTGCTGGCGGTGGGAGTGGTGGTGGTGATGGTAGTGGGGGTGTGCCTAGCCCCTCTGCTGCACCGTCAGCAGCACCCGCAGGGGCGCCAGTACCGGCACCAGCAGAAACGCCAGCACCAGCACCAGCAGAAACGCCAGCACCAGCAGCAGCAGAAACGCCAGCACCAGCAGCAGCAGAAACGCCAGCAGCAGCAGAAACGCCAGCAGCAGCAGAAACGCCAGTACCTGCAACAGCAACAACGCCGGTGCCAGCAGCAACAACGCCAGTGCCAGCAGCAACAACGCCAGTACCAGCAGCAACAACACCAGTACCAGCAGCAACAACGCCAGTACCAGCAGCAACAACACCAGTACCAGCAGCAACAACGCCATTACCAGCAGCAACAACACCAGTACCAGCAGCAACAACGCCAGTACCTGCAGCAACAGCTACAACAGCAGTAGTAGCACAACCAAGAGAATTACTATCATCACCCTCCACTTCCTCCTCGCGTCTCTCCACAGCAGCCCTAGCAGCAGCAGCCACGTCCACCTCCCCAAACTACGATCCAATCTTCGCAGCCCCAAACCGCCTCCTCGGCATGGTGTGGGCGGCAAAGCGCGACGCAGGCCTGTGGTTCGCAGCAGCAGAGCAGACCGACAAGCGCGTGGGCATCCAAGTCCTCCCCATCACACCCTTCCTCGCCCGCCTCTTCCCAGACCCCTCCTTCAACCGCCAGGTGGTGCAGTGGGTGCTGCCTGTGCTGGGGGGGGACGGCACCACGGACGAGTGGCGGGGGTTCGCATGGGCGCTGCAGGCCACGTATGACCCGGCGGCGGCGAGGGAGAATATTGAGAAGCTGACAGCGTTTGACGATGGGAATAGCAAAACCAACATGCTCTGGTGGCTTGCTGCCAACTCTCCTTAGTGCTGCCAATTCGCTTGGCCTTCCGCGGAAGGCTGCTCATCTTTCCTCCAGTTTGTTATAGAGATGCATCCAGCAGTGCTGCAGCAGATGCATGGGTAGGTGGGTTGGGCTTTTCTTTTCCTTGTTGTCTATGCCTGCTAAGGCTCCAAGCCAACGCCTTCAGTTGGCTGCGTGTAGCCTCTCCGCTTGGCAGGCAGTTTTGCCCTGTTCATTATGCACAGGTAGGTGGGCTGTTCGTTCATTCATTGTATCTATTCAGCTTTATATATGAAGCGTTTTCTGTTTCCTTAAGGGTATTACAAAGGGACAAATGAAGCAAATTATTCCGCTTAAGGTACCGCAGCACATTGCACTGAATCACTTGCCGCAGTCACGTCACCCTCTTCTCCACACCTTATCCAACGCCAGTCCAACAGCCTCAATCGCCTGCTTCACCCGGCCCTGCATCGTCTGCCCCTGTGCCGCCCCTCCCCCCTTCTTGTCCCCCAGCAGCACTTGGTTCAGCTCTGCCTGTGTGGCGCCATCCAGTGGCTCCACGAACTCACTCGCTGCCAGGATGGCCGCTGCTGGTAACCCACGCGCACTGCTGCTGCTGCTGCTGCTGCTGCTGCTGCTGCTGCTGCTGCTGCTGCTGCTGCTGCTGCTGCTGCTGGCAGTGGCAGTGGTGGTGGTGGTGCTGCTGCTGCTGCTCGTGTTGCTGTTGCTGGTGTTGGTGGCACGGCTGGTGCTGCCCTTGGTGCTGCTACCGCTGGTGCTAGCAGCATTGATGCTTGAGTCGTCAGCTGGTAGCATTGGTGCCAGCGGGAGGCAGTCGGGCAGGACTGTGGGGGAGAAGGCCGAGAAGATTTCCCGCTCCAGGGGCACTGCCCGGGCGGGCTGCAGGCAAAACTTCATCCACTGCCCAATGAGTGGCGAGGGCCCGCGGTTGCGCCAAGCAGCCTTGGGGATGTTGTAGCGCGCTGTAGCGGGCACGGCCTGGAGGGGGAAAGAGAGGGGTGGATAGAGGGAAGAGGAAATTATAGACAGATGGAGATCATGTAGTTGCACACACATATCTGAAGACCCAGATTTCTGCAGATTGGCACGGAACACGACAATTACCAATCAAACACCAATTTAAAGCCGGCGGCCCAAATTGTTCATGCTTTTAAAAGTTGACCAGAGGGAGTTTTTCTGGTGTAGGCTTTGGCGAGAGTTCGCAATTTCGTCTAGGTTCGTTTTTTTCGCGAGACCCAGCCAACCCTCGGTTTTCCCCCTGGTGAGTGAATCTGTCTTCGAAAGTCCCAAATTGCAGGTGCGTGACTTTCAAAAGCTTGGACACTCAACTTCGTCAAGTTTTAAAAACTTGACCCTCGCGGTCCGCAATTTGGGACGCGGGCTTTAACAGTCATCAAACAGTCATTGAAGAACGCAGCAGAAACAATTACGAGCGATATTTGAGAATTAAACAAAAATCGTTCATCATCCACATGAGGGGGGCCTTTTACAAGTGAGACCATTGGGTGCCAGTCAACACTGCCTGCCTGGGATTGAAGGCAGCACCAGGGCGGCAGGGTTGAAGAACAGGGAAGGCAGCAGGAAGAACGAAACATGGCGCTCACCCATAGGTCGGCAAAGAGGAGGGTGCCGTCAGCAGGCGCGGCGACGGTGATGTTGTTGTTGCGACGGGCGAAGGGGAGCAGGTCCGAGGACCACCCCACCACCACTAGCACGTCTGATGCCTGAAAGGCCTTGAGGTAGTTGCTGCTGTCACACACGCGAATCTGAGGGCAGGTGGGAAGGGGAGGGGGGAAGGAGAGAGACAATGAGGGCGGAGGGGAAACGTGTAGGAGGGAGGAGGTCGGAGGACCATCCAGCCACCACTAGCACGTCTGATGCCTGAAAGGCCTTGAGGTAGTTGCTGCTGTCACACACGCGAATCTGAGGGCAGGTGGGAGGGGAGAGGGAGGTTGTTGTGGGGGAGTTAGGATGCAAAATGAGCTGAGAGGGAACGGAGTTGCCTGCAGGGCCTTGAGGTGGTTGCTGCTGTCACACACTCGCACCTAAGGGGTGAAGGTGGGAGGGGTGAAGGTGGGAGGGGAGAAGGAGATGAACAATGAGTGCAGAGGGGAAACGTGTGGGAGGAAGGAGGACGGAGGACCACCCCACCACCACTAGCACGTCTGATGCTTGAAAGGCCTTGAGGTAGTTGTGCGGTCACACACTCGCACCTGAGGGGTGCATGGAGGGGGAGGCGGAGAGGGGTGAAGGTGGGAGGGGGAAGGAGAGAAAGAAGGAGTGCAGAGGGGAATCAAGTGGGAGGGAGGTGCTGGGAGGACCAGCCCACCATCACGAGCAGCCTGCAGGACCAGCCCACCATCACGAGCAGCCTGCAGGGCCTTGAGGTGGTTGCTGCTGTCACACACATGCACACCTGAGAGAGAGGAGTCGGGAAGGACAGGATGGCAGCTGGGGGAAACAGAAAGTGGTGAAAGGTCGTGAGGTAGTTACTGCTGTCACACATGTTGGTGGGAGGGCGGCATGCGGGAGAAATTGTAACCAGTGCGGGGTAACAAGGTATCAATGGCTGGCGTGTTTAATGCAGGGACAGGTCAAAAGCACACTCAGAGATCACAGGAGCGACGTGTCACTCGTTTGAACTCCACATTTCAAAATCACCACACACACACACTTAAGGCCCACCACACCAACACTGATAGGTCATGTGAGCCAGGAGCAGCAGTCAGCATGCCACGTCAGCACACCTGGTGCAGGAGGGCTTGCCACCTGGCCTTGAGAGCGGGCATGCCTCCCGGCACATGCGCGTCCAGCGGGCTGTGCGCGTTGAACGACGCTCCTAGCGACCTGTGCGGGTGGAGGGGGGTAGGGGGGGGGAGGGGAGGAGGGAAGCATGATTGCAACTGGTGATTTTTTAGTCGACTCAAAAGGCACATGCGCGTCCAGCGGGCTGTGCGCGTTGAACGACGCTCCTAGCGACCTGTGCGGGTGGAGGGGGGTAGGGGGGGGGGGGGGGGGGGAGGGAGGAGGGAAGCATGATTGCAAATGGTGATTCTTTAGTCGACTCAAAAGGCACATGCGAGTCCAGCGGGCTGCACGCGTTGAACGGCGCTACTAGAGACCTGTGTGGGGTGGAGGAGGGGAGGAGGGGGAGAGGAGGAGGCGGGAAGCAACTTCTGAGGCGCCTCAATAAGCACATGCAAGTCCAGAGGGCTGCTGGGTGTTGAAGGACGCTCCCAGAGACCTGTGGGACGGAGAGGGAGAGGAGGGGGAGAGGAGGGGGAGAGTAGGGGGAGAGGAGGGGGAGAGGAGGGGGAGAGCAGGGGGAGAGCAGGGGGAGAGCAGGGGGAGAGCAGGGGGAGAGGAGGGGGAGAGGAGGGGGAGAGGAGGGGGAGAGGAGGGGGAGAGGAGGGGGAGAGGAGGGGGAGAGGAGGGGGAGAGGAGGGGGAGAGGAGGGGGAGAGGAGGGGGAGAGGAGGGGGAGAGGAGGGGGAGAGGAGGGGGAGAGGAGGGGGAGAGGAGGGGGAGAGGAGGGGGAGAGGAGGGGGAGAGGAGGGGGAGAGGAGGGGGAGAGGAGGGGGAGAGGAGGGGGAGAGGAGGGGGAGAGGAGGGGGAGAGGAGGGGGAGAGGAGGGGGAGAGGAGGGGGAGAGGAGGGGGAGAGGAGGGGGAGAGGAGGGGGAGAGGAGGGGGAGAGGAGGGGGAGAGGAGGGGGAGAGGAGGGGGAGAGGAGGGGGAGAGGAGGGGGAGAGGAGGGGGAGAGGAGGGGGAGAGGAGGGGGAGAGGAGGGGGAGAGGAGGGGGAGAGGAGGGGGAGAGGAGGGGGAGAGGAGGGGGAGAGGAGGGGGAGCGGAGGGGGAGAGGAGGGGGAGAGGAGGGGGAGAGGAGGGGGAGAGGAGGGGGAGAGGAGGGGGAGAGGAGGGGCGTCAGCAGCACCGGAAGGCATGCTGCGTGCTCGAAGGCCGGCTGCGACCACTTGGTGCCCTACCAGTTCAGCGTGGCCGTGGCAGGGGGAGCTGATGCTGAAGCAGTCGTCCATGCCACAAGAACCTACCTCGCAGCCAGCCCGAGTCACCTCATACTGCAGGCAGACATAGCCAACGCCTTCAACAGCATCCACCGCTCCGCCATTGCCCACGGTCTCTGCCAATCACTGATGCACCCACTGCTCGCCCCCGTGCGGCAGTGCTAATGCCGCCCTTCAACCCTGTACATCGACACGGGCTTCAATAGCACGCTGCTGGTCAGCTTTTGGGGTGTCCGCCAGGGGAACCCTCTAGGCCCCCAGGCATACACCCGAGCCTGACAGCAACCGCCAATGCTTTCCCGTCCGTGCCGTGCCTCGCATATGCTGATGACATCGCCTTCATGGGGAAAGCACCAGCGTGTGCGCAGTGCAACAGCCTTCAACCACTTCGCCAACTCCACCGGAGAGCTGGGGCTCGTACACAAGCCAGCTAAGTGCACGGCACGGGCGCACACAACACAAGACTGGCCGAGGGCCAATTCCCCACGGGAGTTCCCTTCAGCCCGGAGGGTGTGCGGGTGCTGGGGAGCCACATCGGCATAGGCAGCGGGACTGCAATTTTCCTAAGGGAACAGCTAGCCTCATCGGCAGAGCCAAAATGGACCCCCAGGTGTATCAGCCCAAGTCGCAGCATCAGCCACCGTGCGGGTTACCTACTGCGCACAACACAGCCAGACGCTCTGGACGTGGAGGAATGGGGAGCTTGAGGGGAAAAGTTGCTCACCACACTCCTCTCCGCCTGCAACATTCCAATCCCCCCCTTGACACTGAGAGGGCGCAGGTGTGGGCACAAGCATCCTTCCCTACCTCGCTTACGGGCCTGGGCCTGTGCGACTACAGCTTCCTCACAGGGTTCTCCTAAGCGGCTAAGCTCTTGGCAAGCGTCCCTCTGGGCAGCACTCCCGCACTTGCCACTACCTTACCGCTGATGGAGGCACCGGTCAGCGGCACAACAGCCATCAACAGCGGCACAACAGCCATCCACGGTCCACCTCTGCCTGCCTACGGCGGAGCGCAGTCGACCCTCCCAAGAAGGGCCTTGGAGCTGCTCCATGGCGACCGCCAGCCGCCGCAACCTGGCAAGCTCTAGCATGGGCTAGCCCTGGAAGTCCAGGGAGCATGAGCATGAGCATGAGCATGAGCATGAGCATGAGCATGAGCATGAGCATGAGCATGAGCATGAGCATGAGCATGAGCATGAGCATGAGCATGAGCATGAGCATGAGCATGAGCATGAGCATGAGCATGAGCATGAGCATGAGCATGAGCATGAGCTCATCGCTACGCAGAAATGGTGGAAGCCACGCGCGAGCTGCCCCTCAACCTCAACCCCGTTCTTGGGCACACTCAGTGCATGCTGTCCCTTTCCGAGACCTGGGATCCTGATTGACTTCTTTCTATCGCCCTATCTGCCTCCCTCCGCCTCTCACCGGCCAGTTCAGCATAGAACATATGTTAAAACTGGGCCTTCCCTTCTCTGTACCGAAGGCATGTGACTGCTGGAAGAAGGTACACTTACCTGACCCGTGGCTCCAGAACCACCTGCCGAGGTGTGACACAGGAGGAGGCAGAACCACACACTCACAACACTATTTGTGACGAGTGCATTCGGATTGCACTGGGTGCTGGCGTCCTTGTCCAAAAGGAGACAATGATTTCCTCACCAACTGACGACCACAAGGCCGCCTTCGCAGTGAAGGATCGGGACTCTCGCACAGAGCACGGCTCCCCAGCCCATGCGCTGCGCCGAGGTCCCCGCCTTCCTCCTACGGCTGTTGGCCGAGGCAGCCGCGCGGCGTTTCTACAACGCCGACCCATCTGGCCGCGCGATTGTTCCACCGCCAGTGGTGGTCGGTGGCGCTTCAACGCGGGCAGGCTGTTGGCCTCGGCATCAAGCCCAACACAGCACTGGAGGCGGAACGCCCAGCAGTGGGTAGCCCCGACGAGTCCGTTGGTCCTGGGGACGCGCTCGTCATCTTGGAGCCGGTGAGTGCCTTAGGTAGCTATATGGTGAGCCGGACAAGGTGAGTGTCTACCATTTAGCTACCTTGGTAGCTAAATGAGACACCCACCTTGTTGTATGCCGCTGCCTTTCCCTTCAAGGCTGGTACCCAGGTGTATATCAATAGACGGACCATTCGAAAGGAGGGGAAGAGGAGGAGCATCAGCAGCGCCGGAATGCATGCCTCCACCACCTCTTCCCCTCCCCATGACTCTCCATTCCCAATGTTGAGGCGCCTCCAAGGCCTTCCACACAACCCTCCGCTACCCCTTCGCCCCCCCACCCCACGACTCTCCATCCCCACAGCCTCCCTTCGCCTCACCTCATCGTCACTGCGAGCAGCTCTCTTGGCGAATCAATTACTGCCACCTGTCCGCGCAGTGCTGGCTGCCAGAGATCGTTCCACGTCTGATGAAGGATGGAGAGGGATGGAGAGGGGTGGAGGAATGGAGAGGGATGGGCGGCGGTGGTGGGAGGGAAGGGGTTTAAAGAAAAGGGCATAAAGAGGGGTTGGCAGAGGGTGGTGGTGGGAGAGGAGAAGAGGAAAAGGAGAGGGTGGATGGAGGAGAATGTTGGGTCGAGATTAGTGCATGGGTAAGACGACACAGAAAGGAGGACGAGGCTCCTTCCTAGGAGAACGTGCGGGGAGTGGCAGGAGAGGAGGAGGAGACGGGATGCATGCAAGGAAGGAGGACAAGACGGGTTGGACAGAGAACGTTAAATATAGGTTGGCTGGTGCACAGACCAGGAAAACATGAAGTCAGGAGTCAGCCGAGAGCAGGGGGTAATAGAGCGGTGACCTCTCCCGTCCCCCCGCCCTACCTGGATGGGCTTGACGCCTTGCTGCTGCAGTCTGTCGGGCCGCCACGCCACTGCCAGGTACCCCATGCGGTACGGCACTGCGTACACCTTGCCCCTCACCGCCCCCTCCCCGCCCTCCCTGCTGCTGCTGCCACTGGTGCTGGTGGTGGTGGCGCTGCTGCTGGTGCGCACGTCTGGAAGGGTTAGGTGGCCGGAGGGGGTGCGGTCGAGCAGCCTCTGCATGCAGCAGAGAGGGCGGAAGCAAAGCAGAGCACAGAGGGCATGGATGGGGGTCATAATGATGCTGATGCTGACAACCTGTAAGGCACTTGTGGATAGGGTAGGGCCCCTAAATGCGCACAGCCCCAACACAGCATGCACTCACCAGCCACGTGGGTCCCAGGGCTTTGAACCAATCAGATCGCTCCACGCCATCCAGAGGCAGCAGGGCTCCGCGCGCTATCAGCTCCTTGAGCCACCTGATCCCCGATGGAGGGAAGGAGGCGGGAAGGGAGGGATTGGGAGAGGAAGGGAAGGGGAGAGGGAGGGAATGGGAGAGAGAAGGAGAGGAATGGGGGGAAGGGTTATGCAAAGAGATACAGGTATGGACAAGGTCCGTGCACAGGGCACACAAGCAGTGACAAGAAAAAGGTGCCTTTTCAAGCCCACTCAGCTGTCCCTTCCATAGCCCCCCTCACCTGTCTCCCTCATAAGCCTCCTCACCCGTCCCCTCTATAAGCCCACTCACCTATCTCTTTTATAAGTCGCCTCACCTGTCCCCTACAGTGACAACGTCAGCAGCGGCAGCGGAGCGCAGGGATGGTTGTGCGCGGCCCTTCTTCCCCCAGGCCTTCTTCTGCCCCGTGGAGGGGACAGACGACGGGGCGGCGGAGGGAGAGGGGGCGGCGGCGGGCGTGGTGGTGGTGGTGGTGGTGGTGGTGGTGGTGGGGAGCGGGGCGAGGAGGTCGGAGGCGATGGCGGCGTGGGAGGGGCGCACGTCCACTGTGAGCTTCGCCAGGCCCGACTGGGATAGCAGGAAGTCCTGTGGGGGGCATGAGGGTAGCATGGGGATAGGCGTGGCGGCCAGGGGGGATAGGAAAGGGAGGTGCAGGGGCTGTCAAGAGAAGACGGGTGGGCTGCCAAGGCATTATTTCCATCAACTCTTGTTGTATTAGGACAACGAGACAAACTCCTCGAAAAAATGGCGGAAAGGAGCCTGGCTGTGCGCTAGCTTAGAATGTTGTTAAGAGATCCAATCTGAATCAATTCTTCACTAAAGGATCAGGAGCATTGCAAATTAGTTTCGGCTTTTGCAAGCCTTCATCAGTACATGCGTGGAACTAACGATCTGAAATGACGCAGACTGACTAAAGTACTCTACGTTCAAGCTAGGCTAACCAGGACATGACGGGAGTGATGAGGCGAATGTAGAAAGAGGCATGGAGGTGAGCAGACAAGTGAGTCGGAGTCAGGGAGGAAGGGGAGGAAGGGGCGGAAGGGGAGGAAGGGGCGGAAGGGGAGGAAGGGGAGGAAGGGGAGGAAGGGGCGAGAGGGATGGCATGGAGAAGGAGGAAGTGGGTGAGTGTCCAGGAGCATAGCCACGCTGCAACCTGTTTCACGGTCACTTTGTGTCCGGCTGCCTCATGCGCTCCACTGGGTAAACCTACCAGGCGTGCCTCTCACCTTGCGCCACATGCTCGCCACTGTGCCTCTGAGTGCCACCACTCTAAGAGGCACGCTCAGGCTTGCCGGCTTCTCCACCCACCGGCTGTACGCCCGACCCATCTCCGCCTCCTCCTCCGCACCCTCCCTCTCCTCCTCCCTCCCCTGCTCTTCCCCACCCTGCCCCCCTCTCAACTCCCTCCTCTCTCCCTCCTGCCCTCTCCCCACCTCTCCTTCTCCCTCTTCTCCCTCGCCACCAACCACTTTCTTTGTTGCACCACCTGCCGCATTCCTCACAAGGCTGCTGCTGCTAACGTTCCCGTTAGGAGAAGCTTTGTTTGAGGTAGAATCAGCTACTGTGACGGCACTCTTACTGACGTGGTCACCTGTCTGTGCTACAGCAGCTCGAGCTCCTGCCAGCAGCAAGATGCCAATCGCTGCCGCCCATACAGACTGCCTAACTGAGGATGAGACAAGCTGAGCCAGTGGAGAAAGTTTGCTGGTTGCGGGGCTTTGCGCTGATGTGGACGATTGTGGCGTTTCATCTGATGAAATAGTGGCAACGCCAGGGTTCGAACTGGAGACCTTTTGGGAGTATGGGATATCTCTACTGCCGCCATGGTTGTCGGAGTGGAATACGGGACCATGTGATTGTATCGAAGTTCTTTTAGGGGAGCGTGTGCCGTAATGGTCCTCTCGATTCGCCGCTGCGAGGCCTGCGGTTCTCCAGCCAATCCCTGTGTGTCCGCTTAGGAAGGAAGACGCAAGACTGATGTCTGCTTGGAACGAGTTTCCGTTTAAACGGCTCTGGCGGTAACGAGTACGACGATATGCTGACTGAACACCATGCCTCGATGAATGGTAGCAAACAAGAGGCTGGCGCCAGGAAGCTTCGGCGAGGCTACATGACGAATGGGACCAGGCCACTGACCGAGAATGTGAGGGATGCGCGCACGGCGGTAGTGGTCGCGCCAGAGTCATTTGCGGCGAACACGGAGAGTTGAACAAACGACTAATGGAGTCTTGAGTCGCATAAGAAGGGTCCGCGCAATCGCGACGAAACCCGATCGCCTGCAGTCGAGGCGACGAATGCGGTGATGAACATGTAAGCAGCGAAAATGGTGGTGGAAGGGGGAGGCTGGTCCGACTCGATTGTATGCGCCCCAACTCCATTCTATGAGGCTTTTTGCAGAATGTGAATGTGAAACACGTGTATTATTGGTGTAAACCGTTTTACATGCCGAACATGGTGAAAAATGTTCCCGTATTGAACTCGATAGTAATTTAACCTATAATAATTCATTATGCATAATATTTCAGTGAAGTCTCTGTGTGAACTGGTCGGAGAAATGGTCTGTACTATGAGTACAGGAAGGATTTTAGCAGGTACGTTAGTCACCTTCTTTTCATATGGACGCAACATATTAGCGCGTTCGAATCTTTTCACGTTGCGGTCCTTCTCTCGGAATTATGGCTGCCACTAGCAGTCTCCCCTCGCCTGAAATTACTTAGTTTCCTTCTCATGTTACCCACGCCCGTCCTTGCTCTCGTCCATGCACTTCGATTTTCGTAGTTGCTAATCTCCTCGTACGTGGTCGGACTTCCCTGGGCCGACTAATTTAGGCAGCGCGCCTGCTTCTGCTGACGTCACGCATGAATCTTTTTTAACACATCCGTTTCTTGAATCGTTGGATTCGCGGTTCTCTCGAGCAGGATTCGTGTACATATTCCCCTTTTCTCGGTGTTACTCCGGGGTATGCGCGTTGGCTAGAAACGGCGAGTTCCATGGGTGCCATTACCTCAGTCGACGCGGCAGAAAAATTCGACCGTGCATCGAATGCACGTGTCGTTTCCACGTCATGCGTAGCCACGTCATCCAGTGACACGTCATCCGTTGCCACGTCAAGCTCAGAGGACGAGAGGCAGGAGGTTCAAGGAGAGCGCGAATCTAGTGGAAGCGCGCCGTTGAGAAGAGATGCGAGCCATGGTGAGGCGGGAGTGATTAGTTTCAACAAGATGGTTTCGAGAAACAGCCCATACCAAGGCGCCGGTATCGGAAGGGATTCGTACAGAGAACATAGAATTTCGTCATGCAGAGATTGCCGTGCGACACATGCCATGCGACTCGTTCACATGCCATGTCGCATGGCATGCGACAGGTTCGACCACGTCGTTCCTTACCATCTCCCTGCTCTTTTTTTTTTCCATCCGCCACCATTTTCCCGCCGTGCGCGGCGCCACCCCGCAGCATCAGCACCCGCGTCGTCAGGGTCTCACGCGGGATCACCGTGCGACACAGGCGTAGTCGCAGGGGGCGCGGAGGCGGCGGCGCTGATTCCGGGGCTGCCGGACGACCTGGCGACGGAGTGCCTGCTGCGCCTGCCGCGCCAGGAGCACCGCGCCATGCGCCGCGTCTCACGGCGCTGGAACCAACTCATTCAGGTGAGCCATGCCAGCTCGTCCACGTGCTGCCAGCCGTCAGGTGTGCTGCCAGCCGTCAGGTGTGCTGCCAGCCGTCAGGTGAGCTGCCAGCCGTCAGGTGTGCTGCCAGCCGTCAGGTTCTTGGCTCGATTCTATCCACACTTTCAGTGAAATATTCCTGCCATACCTCGTCACCATGCCCGCCTTTCCGCCAGCTCCCCCTTCCCCCAGTCCTCCCTGTACTACGAGCTGCAGCGGCGCAGGGGAGTGCAAGAGCGGTGGGTGTGTGTGCTTTCTCTGGCCGACTGCTCATCGCCCCGCCCCCCTTTCCCCGTTGCCCCTTTCCCCCTTTCCCCCCTCCCCCCTTCGCGCCCCTCCTCTTTTCCCCCACCAGTCCCCCCTGTACTACGAGATGCGGCGGCACAGGGGAGTGCAGGAGGGGTGGGTGTACGTGCTCTCACGAGACAGCTCGGACCGCCTGTGGTGGCACGCGCTGGACGTGCGCTCCGCCACGTGGCACGACGTGCCGCGCATGCCCTCCCTCTGCTCGCGCGCCTACGGGCTCGCCTGCGCAGCCTGCCAGGGCAACCTTTACGTCATTGGCGGGGCGGGGTGGCTCAAACCCAGCAGACCGCACGTGTACAGGTGGGTGCAGTGCAGGCAGCAAGACAGCACGGTGGGTTATGTGTGGGCAGTTGTGGGAAGGCATGGATCGCTGAGGCTGTGGGTTGGTGGTGGGGTGGGACAATATGCTATGGTAGGCGCCCATGTGGCGAACGTGGCCTTCCCTCCCCCGCTGCTATTAGCAAGTGGTTCTCCATTCCGCTTGCTCCATCGCTGTGCGCATTCCCCTCCCCCCTACCCGTCCCCACCCTCTAGGTACAACCCCCCCGCCAACAAGTGGGTGCGAGTGGCAGACATGGCCTTCCCCCACTTTCATTAAGTCCTTCTCCCCCCTCCCCTAGGTACAACCCCCCTCGCTCTATCTGTTATCGCATTCCCCCTGTCTCCCGTTCCCCCCTCCCCCAGGTACAACCCCCCGGCCAACAAGTGGGTGCGCGTGGCGGACTTGGCGTTCCCCCGCTGCTACTGCGTGGCCGGTGCCGTGCGCCTGGAGAGGGATGGCAAGGGCCGGGAGCAGGGCGCGGGATGGCTCGGAGACGGGGGCGACAGGGGGGGGGAGGGGAGGGAGGCGGGAGATAGACTGGGGGATGGCGGGTGGGAGAGGGAGAGGGAATGCAGGATTGGGAGGGAGAGGGAGAGGGAACGCGGGATTGGGAGGGAGAGGGAGGAAGAAAGGGGGATTGGGAGGGAAAAGGAAAGGGAAGGGGAGAGGCTACGGGATGGGGAGGGAGCGCGAGAGGGAGAAAGTGTGGTTGGGGGGAAAAGGGAGGGAGAGAGGAGCGGAGTGGAGGAAAGTGAAAGGGCTGGGGAGAACGCAGGAGGGGGGGAGTCGAGCAGTGGAGGGAAACAGGGGGGTAGCAGCAGGGAGCCGAGAGTGGGGAAGGCGAGAGGGGCAGAGGGAGGGAGCAGCAGCAGCAGGGCGGAAGGGGTGTGTTCGGTGGGAGGGGCGTGGGCGAGTGAACGGCTGGTGGTGGCGGGTGGCATGGGGGCGAGCAACACGTCACTGCTGACGTCAGTTGAAATTTACCACCCGCAGGAGGACCGGTGCGTGCTGTGAGGGGTAGTGAGGACCGGTGCGTGCAGTACGTGCCAGTGGGGGCGGACAGCTTGATTAGGCACAGTGTGATACAGTAGAGGCAGCTGCTGCTGTACCATTTGCATTGCCATGTATCGCCCTCCATCCCAACCACCTTCTCACCATCTGTCTCACCTTCCTGACCCTCCTCTTCTGTATTCTCCCCCCTGTTGTCCCATCCCATGCATTCTTCCGTACCCTCCCTGCCTGCACGCCTCTGCCAGGTGGACCAGTGCTTCCCAATCGCCCTTTGAGTGCAACCCAGAAGATATGGCAGCGCTAGCTAACCAACCGACTGCTGCTGCTAGATGCGTCTCGACTGCACTCAATGCTCCCCTTCCTCCCCGCGACTTACTCTTTACCCTCCCTGCCCTCTTCCTTTCCCCAGGTGGACCAGTGCGGCCCCGCTGCCCTTTGAGTGTGACTTAGAGGATGCAGCCGTGCTAGCCAACCGACTGCTGCTGCGCCACATGCGCTGCGTGCACTCCCCCCCCGGCCCTGACGCTGTCGCCTTCTCCCTCTCCTCCAACTCCTGGTCCCCGCTTTCCGGGAACCTTCCCTCTGCCTGGCACGGCCCGTCCACGGTGCTGGACGGTCGGATGTACATGCTGGATCAGATCGGGGGGATCCGATTGGCCGTGTACGATGACGTGGCGCAGATGTGGCGCCCGATTGGCCGACTGTCCCCGGCGCTGCTGACGCCGCCGTGCCGGATATTAGGGTTTCGCGGGCGGCTGTACGTGATAGGGAGGGGGCTGTCCATGGTGGTGGTGGAGGTGGAGGAGGCGTTGCGGTGTGATGGTGTGCTGCTGACGCGCCGCATTGATGGTGTCGGGTGCCCCTCCGATGTGGTTGTGAGCTGCGTTGTGCTCGAGCTCTGATTGGCTCGGTGATTGCGGCACCTGTGATTGGCTGGACTGGTGCCGCTCTGATTGGCTGCAGAGCCCAGGTGTATGTGTCCTTGAGGTACCACTCAGCGATTCATGGCGGCTGACGTGCTTCGTGGTGGTGGGTTGGCGAGTGCAGTGCGGTACGGAGGACTGCAGCGCGTTGCCTAATATTGTACAGCTTGTATACACCCTTTTTCCTCTTTCTGCGTTTAGGGCATGAAGGGAGTACCGTATCTGCTTGACAACTGTGCCTAACTTGTGATGCACCATTCAATCAGTGTACACTAGTGGTTCTTTGTTTTGATATGCAATTTACGTTGCTCCATCCTTGAGTAGGGCAACTTTGTCGGTGGGAATGGTTGCAGGGCACAACCACCATTTGATTTCCAAAAGCCTACCTGCATATCACTTGGTTGGATCCTAGAGGGGATGTTATTCCCGCATTACATGGTAATGGATATTTGCTGAGCTGTACAGTTGTAATAATGGTAAGAGAAGTTATCCCCACAAGAACATCAGAATTGTTAGAACCAGAAAAGGTCGTACATGTAACGGGTTAGGACGACACCCGCGGAAACAATCACAACCACCCACCACCGAACTAACACGTGGAAACGACCAACCGACAAACGAGCACAATGGCGCAACATGCGCCTCTTGGCGACCCAAAGGAGACAGGCTCTGTCGGCTCTGGTGTAGTTGGCCCCCTCTGGGTGGACCATTGCCAGCGTGGAGCTGACATCAGGTCCGCATTATTTCAGACAAGCGCCACTGGTGCCTTTTGTCGCTGCGCATACCCGACATAGGAGCTCGACGCTTGGCAGCTGGCAATGCTGCTGGTTACAGTGCAGCGATGTGGCGAAACAACCTAACGAAATGATTCTAACAGTCCCCGAGCCGCATCTGCCTAAAATGTGCGGATGTGATGGGTGGGATGATGGGAAATCCTTCCCCAGAGCAGCAGAAACAGCAAGATCCTACATGCTTCTTCACCTACCGCCATAGCTTGCACTCGCATCGCTTGGACGCACCTCAAAACCGAGCTCGAAACGCCCATATCTGCAGGATGAGGCGCAGATGTCCTGCCGCGAGCACAAGCTTCTAAATGTCGGCTTCGAGGGTTTTCTCCAGAACAGCCTCGAGCGACACTGCTTACCCGCAACCATTCGCTCCCCCATCCTGACAGATCTTGTGTTCGCGGCAGTCCTTAATTCACGACAGCAGCATATCACGCAGTTCCCCAAAAGATAGTCCCCCAGCACGAAAAAATGTGTATCGCACGGCCGTGCAGGAGAGGTTCGCCTCTCGTCGTCCTCACGTTTCTCGCATGCGGTCTGTCCCTCGCCGTCGCCATCGCCGCGTCGCAGTCGTTACCAAGCAACAGCTTCGCAACGCGCTACGAGCAGGCGTTGACCGAAACCCTACTGCTGAGCCCGCAACTCAAGGAGATCTACAGAGCAACGAGGCTCAGGGACGCGGTGCCTGACGTTGACGATGACGAAAATGACGACATTGGCGAAGAAAACGGCTCTCGTCGTCAACTGAAAGACGCGCCGAAGAAGCAGTTTGGGCTGAATCCCCCGCCGCTCAACTCAGGACCCAGCATGGCTGACGTCAACAACACGTTTTATCGTTTCGATTCCGTCACGCCGAACGCGGTGGTGGACTGGCGGCAGACGATGTACATTTCGCCCATCCAACGGCAGTACCTGGTAATGGCTGCCGCCGCATTTCTCAACGGCCGTCCACCAGAGCCGGAAGGTGGTGGTGAAAGAAAGCTGCGAGGGTCTTTTCTTGCTCGACGCACCACTCTTCTTTTTACACGCATATTCATGTCACAGACGTTTAGCAATAACAACTTTTCTGTTATCTTATTTCCCATTCCTTCACATGGCAGTGCGCTAGCTGCTGGGCGATCGCAGCCGTTGATTCTATCTCCATGATGTGGGCGATCAACACCAACTCGCTACCAGCCATCCTTTCTCCGCAGCAAGTGCGTGAAAATTGCCATGCTTCTTGGAAGCCTCCCAAACCCAGCACATTCATTATTACCTTTCTTATAGCCGTATATGCTTGTATCAGTTGCTACTGTACTTATCCAACTTCGAGGGTTCCTTCTTGCGACTGGCAGGTGTGCGACTGCGGGACCAAGCAGTGCTGTCAGGGCGGTTGGCCCGACTGGGCTTTTTCATATGTACTCTTTAATGGAGGCATCACTTCCGTGGATAACTACCCCTATCTGGCCAACGACAGTACAGTGTGCCTGGCTAACTCGCTCACACCGACCACTGCCCAGGTCAGGCCTGGCTAATTCATAGTTCATTCTCCTAATCCCAATTTCGAATTCCTGTCAGTCATCGTGTCGCAGCTTGCTCTAGTAGCTTCACCAACGCATCACGCCGCTCTATGTCTCAACTCACATCTTTTCCTCGCCGCCTCTCTTTCTCATGTCGCGTTCTTCCTCCCCTTTCCCCTCTCCCCCCTTCCCCGCCGCAGATCACGGGGTGGGAACTGGTGCCGCCGTACAGCGCGCAGGCGCTGATGAAGGCGGTCAGCATGCAGCCCGTCGTCGCCTTCCTAAGCGGCTCCGCGCAGGACTTCCAGCAGTACAGCTCGCGCGGGCAGCTGAAAATTTACGACGGGCTGTGCACGACGGACATCAACCACGCGGTGCTGGTGGTGGGGTATAACTACACGGGTTCGAGTCTCGCGGGCAGCTATTGGATCCTCAAGAACACGTGGTTCAACACGTGGGGCGACGGCGGCTACATGTACCTCGCCATGTCGCCCGACGTGCGCGGGAAATGCGGCATCCACGCGTACGTGGCATTTCGTGTTTTCAATCAGCCGATTTTCGACGGCATCGCCTTTTCGTCAATCCGCTCATCCCCATCTTTCCGTTCCACCATCCCTTCAATCCTTCCCCCCTCACGCCTTCGATTCCATCCCCCCCCTCTCCGCCTCCCCCCCACAGCATCCCCGCCATGTACCCGGTGTACTACCCGAGCGGGCCGCAGCCCGTCAAGATGAACAACGGTCCGATTTCGCGCGCGGACGACGGCAACGACGGCCGCTGGTGGACGCGCGCGTATACCACCGCGGCGGACGCGTGCTCCGGGATCAACCCGTGCGGCGCGGGGCGCTGCTACACGCGCGCGGGCATGGCGCGGTGCGACTGCAGCGCGCTGGCGGGGATGGTGGAGGTGACGGGCGTGCCCACCAGCAAGTGCGTTCCGCGCAACCCCTGCTCCAGCCGCGGCCAGTACAACCCGTGCGGCAGCGGCACGTGTGTGAACCCCGGCGACGGCACCTACTCGTGCCAGTGCCCCACTGTGAGTGCGACTGCTGACTCTTCATTGCCTTTCTTCGCAAGTGCGCCTCTCAGTGTCCCGGCATGAGTGACCTACCGAGCCTTCCTTTCTCTCTAGACCAGTAGGTATGCTCTCCCAATTCTCATTCACTCGCGTCCTCTCCCATGTGTATCAGTGCCTCTCCTCTCCACTCTCAGGCGCCTCATTCCCTCCACCCCTCTCACTCTTTCCCCCCCTCCCCCTGGCAGGGCTACGCCATAGGAGCAGCGTCAGACGGCACGCAGACGTGTGTGGGAGTGGCGGGCGGCCCAGCCTCGTTCCTCGCCTACCCCACCGTGCCCGGTGACTCCTGCTCCTCCGTTGCTGCCGCCTTCGGCCTCACCACTGCCAGTCTCACCGCTCTCAACCCCTTCTTAAACTGCTCCCTCGCCTACCTCCCCCCAACGCTCATCCTCACCGTCGCAAACGCCTCCTCCACCTCCATATCCCCCTCTGCACCACTCTGCACCGCAACGTACACCGTGCAACCCAACGACACTTGCACGACCCTCGCCAACACCTTCTTCGCGGGGAGCCTGTCTGCGCTGCGTGCTGCCAACCCGCTCACATGCACCACCTCACGCTTCTTCCTCTACCCCTCACAGGTGACTTGCCACTTTCGAGATTTCTCTCAAGTGCTGTGACCACCACAAGTCACAACCGCACACGCTCTCGTCGCTGCTGACCATGACTCCTTTTTTTTTTTTTTGGAAGAATCGCCAATTCGCTGACATGCTCCATGACTCGCTTCTCTCCCTCCACTCCCCTCAGGTCATCTGCACGACCACCAGCTCGCTCTCCTCGCTGGCAGCCGTGCCCATCCCCCAGTGCGGGCAGACATACACCACAGTGGTGGGCGACACGTGCTCCTCAGTGGCGACCAAGTTCGCCGTCAGCCTGGGCACCTTCATGGGGCTCAACAGCGCACTCTCATGCGCCACTGCCCTCCCCGTAGGGTCCTACGTCTGTGTCGCTCCCAAGAGCACCCAGGTGGGTCGCGGGAAGACTTTGAGACGTCCCAAAAGCTCCGTTCCTGTCGTTCATGTGGTCGCTAGTTTCTTTCTGCAGGGCTGCTGTCTCACAGCCTCGCCCGATCTTGCTTCTCCCTCTCTCTCCTCCCATCCCGCCCGCAGACCACAGTGAACTGCACGGCATGGTACGCGGTGCTGCAGGGAGACAACTGCCCCAACATCTGGAACGCCGCCAACCTCACCGAGTCCACCTTCCTCGCCATCAACCCCGGCATCCGGGTGAGCCCTAGCAACCCCGACATTCGGGTGAGCCACCAATTTAGGCTTACGGAATTTCAGCCCCTCTCAACACTAGCCGTTGCACACTAGTCTCCCGTCTCAACAATTTCCTCTTTCCTGTAATGCTGCTCCGTCGCTCCTTTGTCCGACTTTCCTCCCATATCCGCTCATCATCTATTCTCCCCCGTGCCCTACACCCCATCCCCGTTACAGTGCCAAGCGCCCTACCTCCAAGTGGGCCAGAAGGTCTGCATCAACTCCCCGCTCCTCGCATCCCTCCTCACCGCATCCAGCACCTCGTTCTCGCTCTACACCGTGCAGCCCAACGACTCCCTCGCCCTCATCTCGTCCAGGTTCATCACTCGCTGCACCACCTCCTCCGTCTCCCCGGCCTCCATCGCCGCGGCAAACAACATCCTGGAAACCTCCCCTCTGATAGCCAACACCCAGCTCATCATCCCGTGCGACGCGCGCGTGGGGATTCTCGACTGCGGCTGTGCGCAGTCCCTCCCAGTGTGCGGCGCGGACTACGTCACGTACCCGTCCTACTGCGATGCGCTCTGCAACTACGCGCTGCCGGTCATTCAAGACGGAGTCTGCTCCGGCTGCAACGCCGCCTGCACCGGCCGCACCGGCCTCGCCCCCGCCGCGGGGTATGGCTGTACCTGGAGCACGTGCCCCTACCCCAACTGGAAGCCGCTGGACAGCGACTGCACCGTTCTGCAGGGCGACTTGCCGGGGAAATGCTGTGCCGTGGAGCAGACTGTCTGTGAGAATGTTTGCCGCGCGACAAGGGACACGCTGGGCGGCACGACGACGCAGATGCAGGCGAACTACGACTCGTGCTACAGCCAGTGCATGTGCTGCTCCAGAGTGCCGTGCGGCACGAGCACGTGCCTGGCTCCGTCCAGCTGCTGGAGCCAGAGCCCCCGCAAGTGCACGTACAGCTCGTACAAGTACTGGTGGAACTGCACCTGGTTCCCGCCCAGCAACCCGCTTGCTTAGGTGCACCGTGTTTGAGATAACCCGAGAAACGTGGAGGCGCTAAAGCCAGAGCCCCTGGAATTGCACGTATAGTTCGTTGGGCAGGTCTAAGCATCTACGGCACCATAGTACTGGCACCTGGCTCCATGCTAGGGGGAATAATGTACAGTTTGTTGCTCTCTTGTGCTCACCAATGCTACACGCGTCATTGCTAAATTTTTTATTCACTCTGTTCACCCAGGGAGCACTTTTTTAGTCCCATCATCTTAGCTTTGTCCACTACCAGGGTTAAAGAAAACGATGTATCCATTCAGATACCAGTAGTTACACCCCTGTTCTTTCTTTATCGAGACAAAATCCCTCGAGAGAGGTGGCACTCAGCTGCACAGGAATGCCTGATTATGCATCTGTAATAGCACTATTTTAGTCACATGCTCCGTACGCCTAGGAGCCCAGAACATCCGTTTGCCGCACTCCACTATAATTGCTATCTGCGCTTCGGACCACCCTCTAATCTTTCGCTCGCTGTTCGCATGGCGATATCTGCGTCAGCATTTCGCGCAATTCACACCGCTACGCCTCTCCTACCCTCAAGCGACGTCTCCTCCCGATTCACCACGCTACAACCCCTTCCGCGCACATATAGGCCGTTCCACCTCACAGACACCCGCCGCTCCGCTGATTTCGGCGCGTGCACACGCCATGGCGCATGGGGTCCGCGCGCAAGTTTCACGCAATCCGCGGAGTCAGCGCGCAAAACAGCGCCGGGCGCGGGGGTTGCGGCGCGCACGGAGTGGGAGCTGAACGTTCGGCGGCGAGCGCCGCTGGCGGAGCGATACGGCGTGCGCGTGGAAAGAGACATTTCCGCCGATAGAATCGAGGTAGCGCGTACTCGTCATAGCGTTCCCGCATGCGTACGGTAACTGATAGATGCGCGGGTGAGGCCGCATGCGCGTAAGGCGGAAAAGGGGAGCTTCTGGAGACGCCTCGAATCAAGGTGGCGCACAGGCACGCGTCTCGAAATGGGGTGCCAGTAACGTTAGGTCTCGTAGGGCGGGGGGAGGTTGGGTGGAAGCGCGCGCGGGGGACGGCGAGCGCAAGGCCGTGCGGGCAGTCCGCCGTCTCCGCCACTGCCGCTCCCATGGCGCATCGCCACCCATCGCCTCGCGCGACACCCACCACCAATCGCCTCATGGGACACCCACCAATGCCACCCATAGAGTGCTTCCCAGCAGCCCTGTGGTGCAGGGTCATAGAATGCGGGGACACTAATGTGGTTCCTGCACTCACCCACAATACCCACGCCGCTCACCCTTTTGAGTCGACCCAAAATCCAGCCATGGCCCGGCCACCATAGTGGGATTTCACAACAACACTGCGATCCGCGCACTTCCCCGCGTCGCCGAGCACTGCTGTCCGCGGGTCTGGGTGCAGGGTTTGGGGTTTAGAAACCAGCCCCACGGCCCAGCCTCTCCCCCGCCCCTCCTCGCCTGGCTTGAAACATGTTTGTTGTTTAGGATGGAGAAGGCCATACACATTGAGTGGAGAATATGCGTGTCCACTTGATTATGACCCCTCGTTGTTTGCCATTGCCTCTGAACCATGCCTGCTCCTTGCAGGAGGTTGGAGAGGAGCGGTGGCAGTGGTGGTGGGACACCCGGGCCGTGTGCCCATTTTAGTAGCGCCTGAGTATGCTCGCCACTGACTCAAAACCTATGATTCTTGCCATTGAACCATGCCTGCTGCTTCCAGGAGCTTGGAGCGGAGCGGTGGCAGCGGTGGTGGTCTCCCGGGCCGTGTGCCTACCGGTGGGACTGGCGTGTAGAGGAGCAGGTGCTGGTGACACGTGGCACTCTCAAAGTCACTCCTGATGTGAGTTACCATGGTTTATGCTGTATGCGATGCTATCCACAGATCTTGCCTCTTACCAGCTCCATTGAATGCTCTTGAATGCATCCATGGCACAAGTGTGACGAGAGTCTGAAAGTTCATCTTCCAACAAACTTTCATCCCTTGCTCTTTCTCTCTTCCTGCACTGCCATCCACGCTCCACCCATGCATCGGTCCATGGCAGGAGTGTGAGGAGAGCATGGAGTTTGCAGCAGGTGACTTGGTGTGCTTCCCACGGTGGTTCTTTGCTGAACTTGAGTTCAGTGCGGATTACGAGCAACGGTACAGATTTGTGGCGTATGGGGACAACTGCTAATGGATTCAAATACGTGGAATACTTGCTGCAGAGCAGCGCAACCAATTCAAGGGTTACAAGATTATTTGTCTGTTATTACACTTTGGAGGAGCCACAAAGACAGCAAGCGATTTTTCACCCTGAAATATGTGGTTGTACGGTGAACATGTACCTCATATGGGGGAGATTGGAAGAGGGAATTGGGGAAGTTGTTGTGAGGACTTACAACACTCTATTCTGTCAAAAACATCTGCTTACGACACCAGGCATGTTCAAACCCACTAAACGACAGTGCGTCTCATTGTAAGATGACGAAGCTGAAAACAGACGGGAGCTTCCTCGCTTGGCGGAGCGGAGTGGGAGGGACCCACGCTACGCGGGACAGACGCGTCTTGTCGGCGTGATCGAACGGCCCGGTTTCTCACTTGGCCCCACATCCGTGGAGCCACGATCCCTTACGGGCACCGCTCGCCTACAGCCATCGTTTCATTGGCTTGGCAGGCACCGGCCGTCAACTCCCCCTGCCCGTCCGTCTGCTCTTCCCAGCCGCACGCGAACAACTGCAGCCCACCAAGCAGGGAACAAAGAACAACACCAATGGCCGCCCACTTTCCCCCTAGCCGCACTGACACAACTACAAATAGTGCCCGCATGCAAGGCTTTCTCCAGATTACATAGCTCACACAAGTTCCCTACAGAGTCCCCTACATTACAAGGCTTTATATAACGACGCTTCATTGACTTCCAGAGTATCTCTAGCATCGCTCCTTATATCTGCCATCTCGCTGATCAACTGGACAGCTCTAGCTGTGGGAAGTCAACGTTTGCCTGTTTGAATCTCACAGCATCTCCTAATAACGCGACGCCTCGTGCACTCCATAGCCACGCAGATCCTATTATTTGCCAACTGCAGCACCGAAGCTATCATGGCAATTTCGCGCTCACACACGTTTTCTCTCATCGCGGCGCTGCTGCTGCTCGCCGCTTGCCACGCGTACGCAGCACCGACGGTGGCGCAATTCCGGGCGGAACTCAACGCGCTGAAGGCGGTGTTGGCCAAGACGAAGGAATACTCGGCGTTCGGGAAAGGCGTCGATAAAATGCGTGAGTACTGCTCCCCTCCACGCCTTGCTGCTAAACGTCCCTTCTTTAATCAGCTTCGCGCACCCCTTTCGCCAGCGGAACACATTTCGGACGTTTGGTTAGGGTTCCTATTGAGTGACGAACCGCAATGCAACAAACAGGTTCGCATATTGAACACGAAAAACCAGGCACGCTTCTACGTTGAAGTGTTTCGCCAGCTCTTGCCTATCCACTCATCCTCTCCTCTCCCCACTGCCGCAACCCACCCATCCCGCTCTCTCCCCTATAACAGTGAAGTATCCCGACGCGCAGCTGCCGCAGCTGTTCAACACGACGCTGCTGGTGCCGACGAACAAGGCGGTGTACGGCGTGGGGATCAAGACGCTGCAGAACACGACGGCCATGGAGGCCATCGGCAAGTTCAACGTGCTGCAGCGCCAGTTCACCGCCGCGCAGCTGCTCAACCTCAAGCCCAACACGCCGCTGCGCACCAAGGCGCCACCCACCGACCTGCTGCAGCGCTACCCCTCCGTGGGCGCTAATGCTGGCAAGGCCGTGCTGGGCCCGCGCAATGTGACTGCTGCCGTGCAGGGGGTGGTGCTCTTTCCTGACCTCTACTCGGGCAAGTTCCTCAAGGCGCATGGCCTCTCCGTGTTCTTCCGCCCCAAGGGCTACTGACTGCACCTCCTAAGAGCTACTGACTGCATCTCCCTAAGGGCTACTGACTGCATCTCCCTAAGAGCTACTGACTGCATCTCCCTAAGGGCTACTGACAGTGCTGCCCCTGCCACGCGAGGTTGACGGGGTAGTGTAACTAGTAGGGTTCCCTGGAGCTGACCCAGTTAGGTTATATTCATGCAGCCTGGTGTCAGAGCCTTGTGTCAGGAGGGTTTGCGGGTTTCCTTCCTGCCTTTGCTGCACTGGGTGATGCCAGTGGGAAGGCTGGACTGTCCACCTGACACAATGCTCTGACATTAGGGTTAGTTAGGCCCTTTGTACATGCATTCCGTTAGACAAGCCATGAATGCGACTGTAAAGCCACTCTGAAGAAAGTGCCGATTCTTCTTTCTCGTCCTCACATGGGAATGGTTGGCTTCGGTTCAGTCAGAGGTATGCATGGTTGGCTGTGAGGGAGATTACAAGTGGAATGTCACGGAAACACTGCAACTCAAAGCACCTTGTAGTACGGTATCCATTACAGCCCACGCGCTGCTCTGCCGCCCTGCGGCGCCCTGCCATCAGCTACAGCCCTGTTGATGCTGCTACATCCCCTGCTGTCGCCACTGTGGCTCCTGCTAGCACCGCTACAGCCCTGTTGCTGCCGCTACAGTCCCTGCTGCTACTGCTACAGCCCTGCTGCTGTCGCTACAGCCCCTTCTGCTGCCAATACCGCCCTGCTACTACCGCTGTAGCCTTGTTGCCGCCGCTCCTGCCATAGCAGCCTCTATAACAACTACCGCTACTGCTTCGACTGCCGCTGCCCGTGATGGCCTTTCTCCCAGTCTTAGCGGTGAACACAGACGGACGCCCTGTCATTTTAGGGTTCTGGCTTGCATGCCTATGCAGGTTATCTCTGTCTTAGCTAACCGGTATTATAGCTAGCGTCTCCCTGCTCGAGCACACATCGGGGTCCCTTCAGGCCCCCACGACTCCCACTGAGCCTGCTGCTGACGCTGGCGAGGACATGCAGTGGCGGTACCGGTCAGAGGATCGCCCCTGGCGTCTTCAGAGGAGTGCGCGGCGGTTTCTTCGCCCGACGCGGCGCCCCGGGGGCCCGCGTGCTGTCCCCTCCCGTCGCCCGACGCGGCGCCTCGGGGGCCCGCGCGCTGTCCCCTCCCGTCGCCCGCCGCAGCGTCCTGGGGGCCCGAGCGCCGCCTCCCCTCCCGTCGCCCGTCGCGGCGCCCCGGGGGCCCGAGCGCCGCCTCCCCTCCCGTCGCCCGTCGCGGCGCCCCGGGGGCCCGCGCGCCGCCCTGCCCGTCGCCCGCCGCGGCGCCCTGGGGGCCCGCGCGTCGCCGCTCCCCCTCCCGTCGCCCGTCGAAGCGCCCCGGGGGCCCGCGCGCCGCCCTGCCCATCGCCTGGCGCGGCGCCCTGGGGGCCCGCGCGTCGCCCCCCCCTCCCGTCGCCCGTCGCGGCGCCCTGGGGGCCTGCGCGCCGCCCTGCCCGTTGCCCGTCGCAGCGCCCCAGGGACCCGCGCGCCGCCTGCGTTTGGGGTATGGGGTGGCGGGTATGGGGGCGGCAGGTGTGTGAGCCCTCCCCTGCTCCTCCTCCTCCTCCGTCTCCCACTGCTGCTGCTGCCACTGAGGGGGGTGGGTGTGTGGGAGCCGAGGGAGTGGCGCTAGGGGGGTGTCGTGAGAGTGGAGCTAGGGGTGCAGCAGGGGGTGTGTGAAAGGGGGTCTGCGACAATGGGGGAGGTTGAGCGGAGGCAGCCGTCGTGTCGTGAGCAGCGCCAGTAGTCCGGGGCTCTGCTCCGGTAGCCCAGCGAGCCTGCTGCGCCAGTCGCTCGTGGGTCCGTTGCTCCTGCCGCTCGTCTTAGCCGCGGAGCCAGTTACTCCAGTAGTCCACGGCGCTGCTCCGGTAGCCACTCCGTGTGCGCGGCTCCTGTTGCCCGTGTGTCTACGGCTTCACCTGTCGCCTCCTATCTCCACTCCTCTTACAGTCCCTCCTCCTCCTCACTTGCCTTCTGTGAATGCCTCTAGCTTTGCTTGTACTTGTAAACCTGCTCTCTGACTGCTTACTGTGCTGATTATACCCCACTTTGACTATGGGGGTGTGTCAGAATGTGATATTTGTCTAGCCTGCAGTGGGGTACTCTATAGCGAGTATAGCCTAAATTAGGGTTTCCTATATGTACTCAATTGCCTGCTAGTGCAAACCCTCTTTTCTGTTCTAACTTCTCCTTGCTATTTTGACAATATGTTCGCACACAAAAGCATGTTACGATCAGAACAAACAAAACATACCAGTGCCAACACCATCCGCAGGTGATACAGTCTACGTTCAACTTCCGTCTTTTCCAGGGAAGGACATGCCGACATCGACGCCAGGCCCATGAGGGTGCACAACAGAATCGGCCCAAATCGTAAGTGGTAAAACCAATAAACAAAAACACAACACATGGCATCGGAAAGCCATGCAACGCACATCTTCATCTCCTCGAGAATGAGATCCACTTGCCGCCGATGCCCCAAAAAGCGTACATGAATGCGCATCTTTATCTCCCCGAATATGAGATCAGCTTGCCACCAATGATCCCCCGAAGAATCGTATGTAACAGCGACGAGCATGGACTTGTCGCTCTCCTGAGGCACGTCTCCCTTCAACACACCCGGTTCCTTCACGACGACAAGGTTGAAGTGCTTTGGAACGCTGCAGTACAAAGAGGTAGAAAAATCCGCGGTTAGATTTTTGGCACAGAGTTGCACCTCAAATATATGAGACAAACTTACTCCATGACAACAAGCACGAGGGCGTAATTGTTATCCATAATCTTACAGTTGTCTGGTCGTTGAATAAGCCATCGACCCTGCAGACTGGTGGTGTAAGTGCCGTTCTCTAAAGCAATCCAGGTGTGACCACCAGCGAGGGTGGGCTTCCTGAGATGAGCAAGTATATAGCGCAGCAACATACATATTCATTACCTGTAAGCCAAGCATAACAACCGATAAAAGGAAACCAGACAAATAACTACTAGACACACACTCACATGTTATGGAAGTCGATGAGAGGGGTGCTGAACTCACAGCCGTCTTGCACACGGGCAGTGTCAACGAGGCCTATCGACATGCTCTGACCGAAGGTGTTGTAGAGGGGCTTAGTCGGGAAGTATTGCGACGACGACGACGACATGAGTATTCAACTGCGGAGGCGTGCAACCCTTCGTAAACTCCATGATGATGTCGGCAACGGGTTCGAGACATTCCACACTCTCGACATGTGTA